AGGAGGTTCTTAAAGAGACAGAGGCCAATTTCAAGGCGTTTAGAAGAGGAAGTGATGAGAAGATAAGTTTATTTTCTAATTAAACATAAAAAGAGCATTTTAATAACAACTAAAGGTGACATAGATATTTTACTATGGTATTGTATTTAATTATATGCCTGAGAAACACCTAATATTGGCCCTTTAACAGCTTAAGAAAAGACTAAATATAGTGACTCTGGCAGCTTACTAAACTTTAACTGGAGATAGACTGACAGATCAGTTCACAAAGAGTTAATTGGCTACCCTGGTTTCTATATATCATCAGCATCAGTCATTAAAAACTCTAATGAGTCAAGACGAACATTCATCATTGTTCATGCTGTAATTAGATTAAATTCTTGAATATTTCTGATGTAATCCAAAKAAATCCCATTGCCCAAAAGACCAAGATCTCTTGCAAAAAACCAAACACTGTATAATCCTGCACCCTAGTGTCACACTGCTGTTTTGCGTTTACCTGTAAAACTCACCRTATAGGCTCTGGGAAGAGAGGCGATGTGGGAGGACTGGCTCCCAAAGGGCCTCGGCGCAACAAMCGAGGTCAGGCGGGCGCTATCCGGTCGCTGGTAGCTCCTGGGGAGGGAGGCGGAAACCCGAGACACTGCTGGAGGCTTCGGTTCCATTGAGCTGAACAGAGGTGGCTGTTTGTGCAGAGAACCAGAGGAKGGGGCCTCTGCCTCAGTCTGTGCCCTCAACAATAAGGGTTTGGGCTCAGGTTCCTCCTGTGTGAAGCTAAAAGAGGAGGCAGATCTTGCCTGTGTTTTGGTCGTGCTGGTGAGCTGGTCTGTTTTGGGTTTCGGTTCTGGCGCAGCTGCTGGAGAGAGGGAGCTGTTGATGGAGCTGCGGCTSGCGGGAGTGGGGGTGGGAGTGATGGTGGTGGTGGCACTGGAGTGTCTGGCTGGAGCACTGTCCACCTCTGCCACTTTCTGTGAAAAAGGTGGGGAAGCAGGCCTAAGAGTAGGTGGGGAAGCAGCAGGGGGKTCTTGTGTTTTCCGACAAGGCTCAAAGCTATCTGAAGAATTGTAAGGAGTGTCAATAGTGTAGCTTCTGGAAGGAAGGGCTCTGGTATACGGAGAATTGGTGGGTTTTTCAAATATGTCGTCCTCGTCGTCTAAAGCGGAGAGGGATTTGAGACGACTGCTGATGCTGCCCTTTCTGTTGTCTCTGTGGATGAAGAAAGWGAGGGGGGTGAATGCTATTGTGGTGGCACGATTTACCAAGAATGCAGAATTATAATTATTCCATAACACTATGCAAGTTCAAATATGGCAGTGATGGGTAATATAAAGATGAAGACGGATGAGAACTGAAAGCAGAGCAGAGGCTGAGGATGTAAAAATGTGGGGCAAAAAAATGGAAGGCTAAGCCACAAATCAGGTACACTTTCACACAGACGCAGCAGTAATTATCATCCTCTCACCCACTCGACTAAAAACAAAACATGCTGTCTGCTCGACAATACACGCTCTCAAAACAAACTTGGTTTTTGTTACCTTAGTCAAGTATTCTCCTCTGCGCGTACAAAAAATGTGCACAAGAGGAACAAATTCAATATACAGTACCACACCATAATCTGTTATCCTTACACCACCTTAGCTACCTGAGACAAAGTGCTTTTCCTCACCTATCCTCTTGCATCTCCTTGAAGGTCTTGGACCTTTTGTCGCTGCCGTATGTAATCTGCTCTATCTTCTCCCTTTCTTCTTTCTTCTTCACTATATCAGAGTTTACACTCCGACGCCGGCTCTTCCATTTGCTCAGGTCCTGCAGAGAAAAGCAAGTCAACCTCATGCATCACATCCTAAACAATTAGGCTTAGACCTAGATGAAAGTAGAACAGCTGGATTACGTTGCAAGTGTTCAACTGAAGGGAGAGAAGTTCAGAAGAGAGAAAGAGGGGGAAAGAGAGAAAGAGCGACATTTGAAGGTGTTCTATTTGTGAGCTTTAAGCTCCTCCCGGCTCATTTCCCCTGTGTATTGGGGACTGAGTGACCTAAATGCTGCTTTAAGACTATTATTTTGCCTAGACACCAATTAGACAGCTGGCAGGAACCACTGTCAGTGCATGTACCATGTATAAGTGGAAAAACAAGTTTTTTTATACCGAGTTCCTGTTTTAACAGATAGTGTTTAAAATCTGTGCCAGTGAATACTTTTTCAGTCTGTATTAGTAGAAAACTTAATTTTCTTTTAATAAAGTACAGCTACTTTTAATTTTGTCTCGAATACTTCCACTTAATTCCATCATAACATTGTTTTACATGAACCCAAGCCAAAGTAAGGATTTACAAATGAAGACAATAGCCCGAGGGCAGCACTGCACCAACTGGTTCCTGCCTATTCGTTTTTAATCCAAACGGCTCYATTTTCAGCTGTCTGCATCTTTTATTTTAACCTCAACGCTGCTTGAATGTAATGCATGTGCTTTTGTGAATTCTACAAATATCAGAGAACACTCACATCCTGCCACTTGTCCTCGCCCTGTTTGATCTTCTCGCGATACTTCTGAAGTTCTTCGAAGCGATTCTGCTGGGTGATCGATGGCTCCATGATATCACTTGTTGATTTACTCCTGAGGGTGGGAAATTAATATTATATATAATTATATAATATTTTTATACTTTATGCTTTTACTTTTCCCACCCCCCACCCCTYCGGTGGGTGGTGGGAACAGTAAAAGCAGTTGAACATATACTCATTGGTGTGTGTTAAGGTTTTATGTATTGGTGTTTATTACAAACAGAAAAACCCATTCCAGAGTCACATGCATTAGATTGATGCATTATTACATAAGTACATAAATAATAAAGTATTAGTTTGTGTAGACAGCACACAGGTCAGCCATTATAGTCACAATAAGTCCATTGGGTTAGTAACATAAACCCGTGTTCTCCCTCCATGATCATGCAAGAGAGCAAAGTCTCAAATTCACAACTGATGGAAAATAAATGCTTTCCTTACTTCTACATCTCATTTTGACCTCTACCAGTKGGCCTCACTGAAGTTTAGATACAACTTTAATACAGTTTTCATACTTGGACTCAACTTTYTTCCCTGCAGCCCACTCCCACCACCTCACCCACCCATTGCCCTGTGCCGTACAATAGCAATACTTTGTGTGTCAGCATTTAGTAGTTAAAAAAAGTCAGAASAGTAGAACAAAAGCAGGAGGCAACATAGTGCGACTGGAAGAGGCTAGAATGTGCCACATTCCTGGGAGCCCATATTCAACTCACCCGTCCGTACTCTCCAGCTCGTCAGGCTGTCTGGGAAACCGGAGAGAATCACAGACAAAGTCACATTTCTGCAGACTTTTTTTTTTTTGGCAGTACTCT